CCCCGCGCAGCCCGCAGCCCAGGGCCGTCCGGCCTGCCGGTGGCCAGTGGCTCGGGCCGCCGGCGCTTCCCGCAGGCGCTTATCGTGGGCGTGAAGAAGGGCGGCACGCGCGCCCTACTGGAGTTTCTGCGGCTGCACCCCGACGTCCGCGCGCTCGGCTCGGAGCCCCACTTCTTCGACAGGTGCTACGAGCGCGGCCTCGCCTGGTACCGGTGAGCGCTCGTCCCGTCCGCCCCATCGGCTTCCTGGCGGGTGCCTTCCGGGAAACCGCGTGGTGTGCCCCCAGGGGTCTCACTGGGGACCCCGCGGGGCGAGGACTCCAGGCATCTTCTGGGGCTGAGACCAGCCTGCGTGGGGGCTGAGGCTTGACCGGGAGGACGCGGCCCTCCTACAGCAGGTTTTATGCAAAAGAGGGTCGGTCACTGGCCATGGACTCCCAAAAACTTTGAAAACTCCAGGGAAAGCCCTGGTTCGGGGCTAGAGTGCGATTCCAGCCGCGAAGTAGTTTGGAGGCTGTGGGGTCTGAGGTGCTTTAGAAATGCTTCGTGCTCAGTTGGCCCTCTCCCCTGCATCACTGAGGGGAGCATGTCTGAACTCTGGTCAGTTACCTTAAGAAAGGGTCTCCGGGTTCCCTGCAGCCTCCTAGAAAGTATCTGTCAACCCATTCCCCATCCCTGAGACCCCTGATCCTGGAGAGAGGAATCCTCCATAGTCCTGGGTGTCTGGAGAAAGTCTGGTCTTTAGAAAGGAGGAGGGTGCCTTTGAGTCAATGCCCAGGGATGGGAATTGGGACCCCAGCCTCATGTCATGGGGCTCTGTAGCTGCCCTGACTCCCACCCAGTATGGCCTTGGGGGGTGTGGTGGAATGTGGGGGAGCACCCAGCCGCAGCTGAAGTAACCTGTCCTGGTGGCTGGTCAAACACCAGCCCCTCCCTGCCGAGGTTAGCACCGAAGGATGAGTGTGAGGCCCAGCCCTCTGCCTCTGTCAGTCGGGCACAAGCCTGCCTCAGCGCCCTATCCCTTCCTTTGGGGAAATGAGGGCTTACAGATGGAGGGTGAGTCACCCCACTCCTCACAGCACCAGCCTCATCTCCAAGCTTGGGCCAAGCCCCTAAGGGCCAGAGAAGACCCTGCCCAAGGTCACCTGGTGAATTAGTGGTGAGTGGGGGGTGGCAGGATTGAGACTTTTTACCTCCAGGTTTACCAGTTTTTCTGTACCCAGATTCCACCCTGCCCCCCACCCCTTGTTATCTTTGCTATTTTGCATCAAAATTACTTATGGGTTTGGAGGGCTCTCAATGATAACAGGGGGTTCTGGCTCATGAACTCTGAAGAGTTGCTGCTGTCAGAGGTCTAGGGAAGTTGTGTGGTGACGGGGGAGGTGAGTCCATCTCTGGACCCGACTGTCTGAATCCCTGCATTCTCAGCACTCAGGGAGAGACCACTACCCGACTCTGACAGTGCTTCAGCATCTGAAAGCATCCCTAATTCCTCACTTCTGTGCAGAGGAAGAAGAGGAGGGGGGAAGGAGGAGGATGGGGAAGGGGAAGGACACACTGTTAACCATAGTGCAAATTTCAGAGCTCACTACTGACCCCATAAGCTGGGCTAATGAGGGGCTGCAGGAGAGTCTAGAATTGGGTTTAGACCTAAAAAGGCTCCCAAAGAGCCAGGGATCCTGAGAGCCTATCCAGGCCCTCCCTGGGCACATGCTCCAGCTCTGGGGGACTGGTCTGGGGAGCCTGAGGGGCCTGAGAGGAAGCCAGCTGGACCCAGATTTGGGGTCAGATCCTCAGCACAGGGGAGGGGCTCTTGGGACATTGGTGTCCCTGAGGCTGGAGATGGGAGTGGGATGATTCAGCAGCCTGTTTAAGTCTGGTAGAGGAGACTTTCTCCTTCCTCGGCCCAGCCACCGCACTGCGGGGAGGGGTGCTGCAGAGGAGGCAGAGGGTCAGGTCCGTGGCTTCCGCCCCTTTAATCTGGAGCTGTCCCTCGGGGCTGGCTAGTGCTGACCCTTCACTGGCTGGTGCAGGGCTGAGCTTCTGGAGTGCGTGTGTCCACGTGCCTTCCAAGGGACGAGGCCATGTGCTGATGTGGCATGGTGTTGCTCACAGGCATGAACCTGACTGTCCTTCCAACCAGCGGTGAGTGTACAGTGAACCTCTGAAAATGCCCACCCCTGCCTGTTTCCCCAGCTGCAAAGAGGACGCCCAGCACCCGGGCAGGGAGGGTCTGGTGGCCTTGTCTGCTCTCAAGACCCTGGGCCCAGCCTCCAGAGCCTGTTCTTGGTGGGGGTGTGGGGCGGTGAGTAGAGGAGCAGTGGCCAATGCCCCCAGTTGACTTTCTGGGACACCTGTTCCCACTGGGCTGTGACCAGGCAGTGACTCTGGCCCTTCCCTTGGCCTTGGCAGGGGTGCTGGGCTGCTCAAAGTTGACTTTGGCCAAACCAGTCCCCCTCCCTGGGCCTCAACTCATCCCTCAGGCTCTTGAGGATCCTCCTTCTTGGGGACCGTGACCCCCAAGTGTCCCCAAGCTCACACAGCATTTGTTCATCTAGTCACTGACTCATTGAGCACCTTCTGTTTGGCAGGTGCTGGGGTCACACAGACAAACACCCCCAAGTCTCAGTTCAGAAGGGGGCGCCCTGTCTGGGGGCAGGTGGGGGCTGTACTTTGACCTTAGTATTTTGGAAAAGCACAGAGACCAGGAGGGATACAGGTAGGGCCACCCCCTTGGCTCCTGGTACTGTGTTGTTCCAGACAGGAACCATAGCTGGTTTCTGCTGAGTCCCAGGCCCCCGCTGGATGAGGCCCAGGCGAGGTGCAGGATAGGGGGGTGGGGGTGGGGCTGAGACAGAGGAGGGAGAGTTGCCTGGGGCTGGATGGAAGCCGCAGGGAAATGCAGACCAGATGAGCAGGTAGGGAGTGTCCACAGAGCAACTTGTCAGATGTTTGCCGTGTGGGGGTCAGAGTCCTGTTCCTCTCATCCTCTCCCCAGTCTCTCCCACCCCCAAGAAACCCCCATCCCCCCCTCCTCTGTGCCTGGCTGGCTGGGGACAGGCTTCTGAGGCCTGGGGAGGTTGAGTAATTGATCCCAAAGATCTCAGATCTCAAAGCTGGTTTGTGGCAAGAGTGGGCCTGGAAAGTCAGCCTCCCCCATCCCTGTTCCCATCCGCCTTCCACGGTGGGGCTGGGGGCACCTCCCTGACTTCCTCTCCTCTGACTTCCTTGGAGAGAAAACAGCAATGGGTGCTAAGGTCCCTCTAATTTTTGTCAGCTTCCTTGCAGCCCCTCCCCCCAGGCAGGCGGGAAGGGGTGGGGATACTCAGAACCAGGTGAGCCCAGTCTGGAGAAGGAAAGAGGGTGCTCGTGGGGTCACTGGACACCTGGGGGAGGAAAGGGATGGGAAGGGGGTGTCAGAGGTCGGTGAGGAGGGTCCCAGAGCAGTCAGGGCTGGTTCCCTCCCTCAGGAGGGTGATGAAGGGAGGGCGGTGACTTCTGATGACGTCTGTCAGCACTGGCTTATGTCTGTGGGTCTCAGCATCGAGGTCCAGTGCGGGGAGATCCCCCTTCTTTTGTCCTCCCTCTTGTGGGAAGGGGGGTTCCCTGAGCTGGCTACCCCAGGCTGCAGTCCTGAACCTCAGCCCTTGGCCTTGTTCCCACCCAAGTTCTCTTTGAACTTATTCACAGGGAGGGCTGGGTGCAATTCCCACCTGGATTCCTGGGAGCAGAAGCCAAGCCAACACCGCCTCCCAGCAGCTGCAGCCGGCATCCATCCCAGCACTTCCTGCTCCATCTCTGAGCCTCAAGTGGGGCAGTGAGTGGGGTGGAAGGAGTCTCAGATCACTCCTGGGACATGGGGGGAGCAGAATTGTCTCCCATGACTTCTGTAGACCAGCTCTGCCCAGGGCCTTAGTTTGAGGGGAGGGGCAGCTCCCACAGCCGGCAGACCCTGCAGCCCACCCCACTCCCCCGAGCCAAGAGGGTGGTGTCAGGGGAGCCGGCGGCATGCCTGGGACTCATGTGTGCACGTTCTCCAGTCCCGACATCAGCACCCTCCAAGCTGAGCATGCCAACTCGTGTGCCTATACACCTGGGTGTCCACCTGGCCTGAGAAGGAAGAGGAGACCGTCTCTCAGAAGCTCGAGTCTGGGGGTCACTAGGCTGGTTGAGACCTGAATTCTGTCCTGTGTGTCACCCTCCTGGCTGGGGCCAGTCCTGAGGGCTGTCAGCGGGATTGGGGACAGCTCCTTCAGAGATGGGGTACAGAGACACCCCCAACCCCGTCCCTAGCACAGAGCCTGATAGCCTCTGCCTCTGTTGACCTTGTTCCCAGCTCTCTCGGAGCTGTTTGCTCAGCTGGCCCTGCTGCTGCACCCTGCCCCTCCCCACCCTGTTCTACCTGGCTGGCAGGGTGGCCTCAGGATGCTACCCAGGGTCCCTGGACTGCCTGGGTGGGGTGATAGGATGGGCTTCCCCAGGTTTGTGGTTGTCAGGGGTCTGTCACCAGCCGACTCCCCCGGAACCTTGGGATGGGGTCAGTGCCCCCCAACCCCCACCCCTGGTCAGAATGAGAGGATTGCTCGGAAATGCTGCAGCTGCAGCCTTGCACCATGGGTTCCAAGCCGGGTCTGGGCAACCCAGGCGGCTGGGGTCTTGAGACAGATCCTCAGGCTGCCTCAATGACCTCTCCAGTGTCCTGGGCTGCGCTGTGGCTTTCAGCATTCTGGGGGGCCCAGGTCAGGGAGAATTAGCAGGGCTGCCACCAAAGGTGGGAGACGCCATGCAGGGGAGGGAGTGATAGGAGGGGCAGCTGCCCATTTTTGGGGACACTTGTCAGTAACTAATGGCCTAATTCAGGGGACACCATCAGCCACTTAATGAAAGTGTGACTGGGGTAATTACAGTGCAGGGGCCTGTGGGGGTGGGGAGGGTGGGTGGAGCCTTGTGGGTGGTAAGTCTGGGGAATGCTGGGTCTGGGGTGAGAGGCACAGCAGTGTCAAGGTTGGGGTGCAGTCAAGCTCTGGGAGGGGTGTGGATAGCCTTGGAGGATGGGCCCCTACTGTGAGCCTGTGCTGAGGCTGGGCACCCTCACGGCCCACACCCCAGGCTGCCCACCCAGACACTTAGGATGGGTGGGCCTGGTGGGGAAGGGGAGATGGGGAGGCTTGCCTGTCTTGTAGGTATGGGGCTTCCCTGGAGGAAGGGGAGGTTAGTCTCGGGCCCCTGGGGGCCGGTCTAGCATGGGAGGACTGGAGGAGGGCCAGCACCTGCTCATGCCCCCCTCTCCACCCACCTTCCCACAGGAGCCTGATGCCCCGCACCCTGGATGGGCAGATAACCATGGAGAAGACCCCCAGCTATTTCGTGACCCGGGAGGCCCCACGCCGCATCCACGGCATGTCCCCGGCCACGAAGCTGATCGTGGTTGTGCGGAACCCTGTGACCCGGGCCATCTCTGACTATGCGCAGATGCTCTCCAAGACACCGGGGCTGCCCAGCTTCGGCACCCTGGCCTTCCGCCGAGGCCTGGGCCCTGTGGACACGGCCTGGAGTGCCGTGCGCATCGGCCTGTACGCCCAGCACCTGGACAACTGGCTGCGTTACTTCCCGCTGTCCCACTTCCTCTTTGTTAGTGGCGAGCGCCTGGTCAGCGACCCAGCTGGGGAGCTGGGCCATGTGCAGGACTTCTTGGGTCTCAAGCGGGTCGTCACAGACAAGCACTTCTACTTCAACGCCACCAAGGGCTTCCCCTGCCTCAAGAAGGCCCAGGGTAGCGGCCGTCCCCGCTGCCTGGGCAAGTCCAAGGGCCGGCCCCACCCGCGTGTGCCCGAGGCCATGGTCCAGCGCCTGCGGGCCTTCTACCGGCCCTTTAACCGCAAGTTCTACCAAATGACTGGCCAGGACTTCGGCTGGGACTAATGGGGCTGGGGAACCCACGCCCTGCCTGGGGACGCTCAGTGACCTTAATTTATACCTGTCACCCAGCCGGAGCGGACCCTGTACACAGGGCTGGGCAGAGAGAAATATTTACAAAATAAAGTTTGGATCTGTGTTCTTCTACGTACCCTTGAGGGTTGGAGGGTGGGGTTGGAGGTGCCACCTCCTGCAGGGATGATAATCCTACCAGCTAACATTACTGGGTGCTGTTCATGCTGGGAGTGGTTAAAAACCCGATCCTTGTCTATCCCTCTAGGTGGGCAGTGAACTTGGTCACCTGTCACAAGTGAGCAACTTAGGCTCAGAGAGGTTTGGGGCCTGCTCAGTGACATACAGCTCAGCCCTGGTGACTCTGGAGACCACCCTCAGGCTCTCTTCTCAGCCCTGGGATGCCAAGCTGGGTTGTCCCATATTCCGAATGGGGAAACTGAGGGCCCAGGTTGCTTGAGTGGTGGGGCAGGATTAAAGCTGGGTCTGTCCGGTTCTTCAGGCTGCACCCATGACCTCAGTTAATTCTGTGTCCCTGTGCCCACTGAACACTCCCTCCTGGAAACCTGGTGGAATCTCTGGACAGCGGGTATGAGGTGACTCCCGTGTGCAGGGTGTTTCTTTTTTTTTTTTAATTAATTAATTAGTTAATTATTTGGCTGCGTTGGGTCTTCGTTGCCGCGTGCGGGCTTTCTCTAGTTGCGTCGAGCAGGGGCTACTCTTCGTTGCGGTGCGAGGCCTTCTCATTGCGGTGGCTTCTCTTGTTGTGGAGCACAGGCTCTAGGCACGTGGGGTCAGTAGTTGTGGCTCATGGGCTCTACAGCACAGGCTCAGTAGTTGTGGCGCACGGGCTTAGTTGCTCCGCAGCATGTGGGATCTTCCTGGCCCAGGGATCGAACTCGTGTCCCCTGCATTGGCAGGTGGATTCTTAACCACTGCACCACTAGGGAAGTCCCAGCGTGTTTCTTCTAACAGCCTCCAAGGAGCTCCCTGCACAACCATGCGTCACCCACCCAGGCACTGCCCACCACAGGCCCCACCCACCAGACTGCAGGGCACGCCCACTCCCCCAGGCCCTCCATGCCCCACTTTTGTGGTGTTTATTCAGCTTCCTCCCCTGGGGATGGGCAAGAATGAACACCCAGCTGCAGCCCAGCTGCCAGCTCAGCTCTTAACCAAGTTACACCAGACTCAGGCAGGCTGGGGTGCCCTGTCCATCCATCTCCCCCCAGAAATGCAGGGCCTCTCAATAATGACTGTCACCTGCTCCTGGCCACAGTGCTGTCTGCCAGATGCCCACCAGCTGCCCTGACAATGACCTCCAGGGCCCCTTAGGCCCAGGCCTGGCATGCCCTGGGCCCTTGCAGGACCTGGCCGTGACCCTTGCTCCCCAGGCCTTGGGTCTGTATCAGATGGGCCAGGCCAGGGGCAGGGCTGGTGGGAATGTGGTGGCAGATGTGGGCAGATGTCAAGGAAACGTACCCACAGCCTCCTCCCTGCTGCGGACCTCTGATGTGGGTGTGGGGGAAGGCTGGCACAATCTGCAGTAACGATGGTGAGGAGGGGTGATGCTCTGCTTCGAAATCCCGCTGGGTGGTGAGCACTGGCGTTGGCAGCTCTGTCCCCACTCCCTGGACCAGGGACACACTTAGGGATGGCATGGCAGCCTGTCCTGGATGGCAGGGACAGGAGGGGAGGCAGGACAGCCCCTGATCTCTGGCCTTGTTCTCAGCCTGGTCCCTGCGTGTTTCTTCTTCTTCCCGGACATAACCGTGTCTAAACTTTCACCATCTCATGAGCGGATGGCTTCAGGTCACCTCTTTTGTTCTCTGGCAATGAGCTCTCTGCACGCACGGCAGCCACAGGGGTGTCTTCAGAGTAAACCAGACCCCATTATTTTAAAACACTCCAATGGGGCTTCCCTGGTGGCACAGTGGTTAGGAATCCGCCTGCCAATGCAGGGGACACGGGTTCGAGCCCTGGGCTGGGAAGATCTCACATGCCGCGGAGCAACTAAGCCCGTGCGCCACAACTACTGAGCCTGCGCCGTAGAGCCCGCGAACCACAACTACTGAAGCCCACACACCTAGAGCCCGTGCTCTGCAACAAAGAGAAGCCACTGCAACGAGAAGCTCTCGCACCGCAACGAAGAGTAGCCTCTGCTCACCGCAACTAGAGAAAGCCCACACGCAGCAATGAAGACCCAGTGCGGCCAAAAATAAATAAATAAATTTATTTTTTAAAAAAATGAAGAAGGCAATTTATTCATTCTTTGAAAACAAAACAAAACAAAACACTCCAACCTTCTCCCCCACCCCCTTTGCTTCTAGAATGGAGACCAGATATCTGACTGCAGCTGTTCAGGCCCTCTGAGGCATGCCCCACCCCTGCCCCCTAGCCTGTGTGCTCCTCTCGCTTCTAAGCTTCTGCCCCATCAGCTCCTTCCACCTGCCATGGTCCTTCTTACTTCATAGCCTTTGCAAATGCAGTTCCCTCTGCCGGGAATGCCTTTCCCTGCAGAAGGTGAAGATTGAGAGGGAGGCAGCCTTAGAACCGGAAGCTATACTCTCCCTCTGGCTCATTTCCTCCCTAGAGGGACTTAGAGTTCCTTTCCCGAGCCTGCCACCATGAGCCACTTCTCCCTTCCTGAAGTTTCTTGGATGTAGAGCTGTGGGGTCGGGGGGCACTAGTTTGTCTGGTTTGAGGGCCATGCTCAACTCAGAAGGCAGACTCTGGAACCAGTGAGGAGAAAGAGTGAACTGGCTTGTTCTGTTCACCCCCCCCTCGCAGGGGAAACTGGGCCTAAGAGCCAACGCCCAGCGCCAGGTGCCCAGCTGGGTCTCAGAACACACTGAGGGCAGATGTGGGGGTCCTCCTGGCTGTGCCTGGAGGTGGGGCTCCATGGGAGGGTCACTGCCTTTAATTAAAGTCCCTAAATTGCTTCCCCAGCTGTTCAGTCGGTTTTCCATTTTGGAATGTTCCAGATGAAGTGAGCAATGCTGATCCAATTACCCTTTTCCTATACCTCCCAGTGGAGAAGGGGCAGACAGACTGGGATGGGGTGGGTGGGGCTGGGGACTCTTCACAGCCCTGGGTGTCTGGGAAGGGGCTTGCAGACATCTGGGGAGGTGGCTGCTTCTAACTTGGGGGTCCTTTCCCCGCTCCAGACCTTCTAGCCATGGTTGGTATGGGTTGGGTTCCAGCAGGGTGAGGACAGTGTCCTCTACTCTGAGCGTTGCACACGCAGGCACTGGAGACCTTGAGCAGACCCTGAGGGCCCGAGTGGCCCCTGTATCAGGCTGGAGACAGGGGAGGCATTGGACCCGGATCCACCCTTCCCTCTGGCTCCAAGATACTTTGCTATTGTGCATCTTCATTCTAGATTGGGGAGGAGCCCCAGAAAGTCCCGGTAGCTTGATCATCCTCCTCCTGCCATCCGTGGAGCCTGGCTCCTTCCCTCCCCCGGGGGAGGCCCCACCAGCGTGGGGATTCTCAGAACACCTCTGTGGCCACCGACCTGCTGAATCCTGTCCTCAGCGGCGGCCCCTCTTCCCAGGGCTGGGCCAGCCTTCCTATGGTCAGAGCAGGCAGGGCTGGAAGGGCCTGGCAGACTGACCCTGCTCGCTCCCCTTTCAGGTTCCTAAGAGTGGCTGCAGGGCAGGGCCAGGTGTGGGAAGGGAGATGGGCTCTGGAGTGAAGTCTGGATCTTGGAGGAACCCCCGGGCAGCACCAGTGAACCCCCTTTGTCCCAGGATAAGGAGTGCTTTGGGGAAAGACCTGATCCTCCTGGTCCCCATGGCTGGTCCCTGTGAGGCCCAGGGTGGACACATCTGGGACCTGTCCCTCCAGCCAGATCCAGAGACCCCTCACAGATTTAGACTGTCCTGTTCCCAGAAGGGTGCCAGGCCACAGTGAGAGGGCTTGAGTGATGTGTGGAAGGAAAGCCAGCTTCGCCTTCCAATGAGCTGAATCTCTTGGGAGCTCCCCACCCCTTTCCTGGCTTCCTAGGCCTGAGCCGCGCCCCCCCCCCCCCCAATCTCTTGGGAGCCCCCCCCCCCTTTCCTGGCTTCCTAGGCCTGAGCCGCGCCCCCCCCCCGCAACTCACCAGCCCACTGGGGTCCCTTGTTCCCATCAAGCAGTTGCTGGACTGTGGTGACTGAACAGGTTCCTCTGCACCGCCTCCAGGACAGCCAGGGACAGCGTGCAGACCTCCATGCTTTCCTCTGGGTGGCCACAGCAGCCGTTGGAACTCTGGATCCCATCTGTGCCCCGGGAGCTGTGCAGTGGGGCCCTGGGGATTTGCTCACACCATGAGCCCTGTGGCTCATATTTGTGGGACTCGCTCTTTCTAGAAGTTTCCTCTTAAATTGGCAAGTGCTGACTCCTGAGGACTCCCTCCTTGGAATCAAAGGCCAAGTGGGGGATGGGGGGGTCCATAGGGGTAGGGAGTGGGGATTAGGTTGAAGGTGGGAGGGTTGGGGGTAGGAGGTGGGGAATGAGGTGGAAAGATGGGGAGGGAGGGGGTATGGGGAGTGAGTCAGGGGTGGCCTTGGGACCCAAAGAATCCTTTTCATCCACTTTTCGCCTGGGGACACCCTTTGGGCCACTGGGAACCATTGGTCCCAGGCATGGCCATAGCCAGGGCCTCCCTCTCCTGCAGGAAGCTCCGGTGGTCTGGAGCTCTTTGTGCTCCTCCCTGGGGCTCTCCAGTTCTGAACTCGCTTTTTCTCTCTTTCCTGCATGTCCACCTTATGCTCCCTGAGGAGAGGGATCACCTTCCAAAGTAACAGGAAAAGCACAGGGGGAGGGTGCAGCAGGTGCCTCGAGGTGGGAGGCAGACAGGCAGAGGTCAGGTGATGGAGGGCTGGTTAAGAAAACAAGCCCTCCGTGTATACACCCAGAAGTATTAAAAACAAGTGTGTAAATAAAAATTTGTACACCACTGCTAATGGCAGCAGTATTCTCAAGAGGCAAAGGGTGAAATCAACTTGTGTTCATCAATGAGTGAAGGAAAAAGCAAACTCTGGTCCACCCATACAATGGAATACTACTCAGCCATAAAAAGGGACGAAGTAGTGATACGTTATAACATTAGCACCCTTGAAAAAAACGCTGATTGAAAG